CGGTAAATCAGCGATGTTATGGTTAGTATAAATAAAAAATAAAAATTTGGGTGCCCGAAGAATTTTTTAATTTGTCTAAAAAAAATTTTATATCCCATTTTTTTTGGGGTGGGTGTGAAAGGGACCGCAAAATTCCCAGTTAAAGTAGCATTTATAAATGCCCGGGGTCGTGGGGGGGGAAAAATCAAGGGGTTTTAATTTCGTTTGTTTTTTTTTGGTTTTGTTCCATTTAATAATTTTTTTTGCAGTAAAAAAAAACCGTAAAAATAAAACCAAAAAGTTCTAAAAAGTGCCCATGCATGATATACTCCTTGTTTTTTTGTCTCCACAGATCTATAAAGTTGTTACCTCGTGCAATTTATTACTTGCAGCCAATGTGTATACACCTCCAGCGGATGTGCTCTCACCTGGCGTATGTGACCAGACCGCTAAGTGAGGTCATATATAGCATGTGTCCCTTTTGTGGACTGTTGTGGGATGGCCAAGATGTCCATTAAGGCGGAGTCTCCTCCACTGTCCTAGCTGTCCTCCTCCATCAGTCAATGCCAAAAGAGATGACCAAAACATAGTGCTTTATCCTTACATTTATTATATATAGAATCCAGTATTTCCACTCATGTAAGAGGAGTGTATGATCGCTCTGTGCAAAGTATCTCCCAAAGAGTACTGCTACTGATATGGAACTCCACAGCCAGCTGTACTGCTCTCTCCTTTCCTCCGAGCGTCATGACGTCAAAGCCCCTCCGCTATGCGTTACGCCACAGGGTCACATGGCTTCATCGGGGGAATGATTGGATGCACAGCGCTCATCCTGTATATTTATAATCTACCTGGGCGCCATTTTGTTGTAGCCTGCGTGTAATTGCCATATATCCCTTGGTCGCTACCTTATTTTTGGGCGCCACTATGAATCTATATATCAAAATCTAATTGTAAACACACAGATTCCAAACCTTTATGAGTTATGCCTTCCAGTGAGATGTAACCTATATTACTACCTTAACCTCTTCACGCCGGCCGACCGTAAATGTGCGGCCTCCTGGCGTCTGGGCCTAGACGCCGAGCGGCCGCACATTTGCGTTCTATTAAAAAAGAACATATGTGCTGAGAGCGCGCGCCCTGTATGCTCCCAGCACATATGTCCGGTACTCACGGAAAGGTCCCCCGATCTCCTCTTTCGATCGGGACCTTTCCCGGTCATGTGACCATCGTGACGGCGTGTGTCACGGCAGTCACATGACCCTAAACCCCACCCCGCCTCCCAGCTTCTGAAAAAACCCTTAACTGCTTCCTGTCTGGACACTTTCCCCCCCTTCCTGTGCAGGGCAATTTTCAGCTTTTCAGCGCTATCACACTTGGAATGACAATTGCGCGGCGGTCATGCAACACTGTACCCATATGAATTTTTTAGCATTTTTTTGAGACAGATAAAGCTTTAATTTGGTGGTATTTATTCACCGCTGGGATTTTTTATATTTTTTGCTATGTAAATGAAAATGTCCAAAAAGTTTGAAAAAAAAGTGTTTTTCTTATAAAATTTGCAAATAAATATACTTTATCATCATAAATCTTGGCCAAAATTTATTCCGTTCTCTTTTTAGTAAAAAAAAAAAAAATTAAGCCAAATTAGTTAATAACCAAAAATTTTTAACTTTTTTTTTACATTTTTATTTTTTTTTATTTTATTATTTATGTGTTTTTTTTTTTTACATACTGTCACCCTAGCAGTACAGTGTCACCATGGTGACACTGCACTACTTGTGGGGGGTGATGAAGATTTTTTTTTTTTTATAGTGATTGCTTTACACCCCATATAGGATGTAAAAACAATCATTTTCTCCTTCTCTCTGGCTGCATACTTGCAGCCATTGATAAATACTGTGTGAGCTGTGATTGGTCACAGCTTGTCACATGGTACAAGACTGTTGTGAATAGCCCAGTACCATGTGATCTCTGTGATCATTCACAGATTTCACACGTAGTAAGCAATGATGTCAAGTGACATCTTGCTTACTAACTTTGCATGTGATCACTGATTGGCCAATCAGTGATCACATGATCGGGACCTCCTACAGAGGACACAGCAGGCACTGGTATCACAGTGCTGCGCGCTCCCAGGGAGAGCGCACAGCTAGAAATGGTGGTGCCGTTTATGAATGGCAACCCGCCCCTGGAGTGCCACCCGTCCGGTCATTTATAAACAGCATGTGGACAGCAAGTGGTTAAAGGACCGGGAGGGGTTAAGTGGATCCTATTGTTTAAACTAGGCATCAAATACCTGTATAATACCTCTCCTATGTGCACAGCATGGTATCTACTACTGCACAAGCTTTACTCCATTCTAATAAAACAATGTCATTATATGCACCCAATAGGTTATATACAATGGTTATATACAATGGTTTATGTACAATGGTTATATACAATGGTTATGTACAATGGTTATATACAATGGTTATGTACAATGGTTATATATACAATGGTTATGTACAATGGTTATGTACAATGGTTATGTACAATGGTTATGTACAATGGTTATGTACAATGGTTATGTACAATGGTTATATACAATGGTTATATACAATGGTTATGTACAATAGTTATGTACAATGGTTATGTACAATGGTTATGTACAATGGTTATATACAATGGTTATGTACAATGGTTATGTACAATGGTTATGTACAATGGTTATGTACAATGGGTTATGTACAATGGTTATATACAATGGTTATTCGATTCGACTGATTCGGCGAATTCGTAGAAAAATTTCGATTCGAGTCGAATATATTCGCTGTGAATTTAACTTAAAAAAGGGTGTTTCTAGGCTTCAGAGAGACTTAATATTAGTGCTGAACACTGTACCTTTAATTTAAATGCCCTTGGAGTCTGCTGGGGAAGAGAAATAATACTGTCAGGCAGTATGACATGCAGATGAGTGCCGTCGATCTTAGAATCACCGCACACTTCACTCATTTGGGCAGTCACGGGGCCAAAACCAGAGTGTGGAGCCACAGTGTGGCGGTGGAGGCAGCAGCAATGGGAGGCCATACAGCACCCTATGACAAAAATGGAAACCACCAGCAGTGTGAGGAGACCTGAAAGTGGCACATGGCAGAGTGTGGGCGATAGAGACAGCAGCAATGGGAGGCCGTACAGGGACCCATGACACACTCTGGACCTGGCAGCAGCATGAGGAGGCGGTACAGGGGCCCATGGCAGATTACGGGCCTGGCAGCAGCATGAGGAGTCGGTACGGGGGCCCCATGGCAGATTACAGGCCTGGCAGCAGCAATGGGAGGCCGTACAGGGACCCATGACACAATCTGGACCTGGCAGCAGCATGGGGAGGCGGTACAGGGGCCCATGACAGATTACGGGCCTGGCAGCAGCATTTGGAGTCGGTACGGGGGCCCATGACACACTCTGGACCTGGCAGCAGCATGAGGAGGCGGTACAGGGGCGCATGACAGATTACGAGCCTGGCAGCAGCAACTTGGACAGGAGGACGTTCAGTTTCTGCACCGTCTGGTGCGTGCTCGCAAACTGTTGTCTCTTGGAAACGGATTCCAAGAAAGACTGCTGACGGAATCCGTGAAGAGGAGTAGCAGGAGAAGGAGCATCTGAACGAGCGGAATATGCCAACAAGCGACAACAGGCCCATGACAATTACGCGACAACAGGGTCGGTACCCCATGGCAGATTAGGGGCCTGGCAGCAGCTATGGGAGGCCCGTAATCTGCCAGCACCCTATGACAAAAAATGGAACCCACCAGCAGTGTGTGAGGAGACCTGAAAGTGGCACATGGCAGAGTGTGGCGATGGAGACAGCAGCAATGGGAGGCCGTACAGGGACCCATGACACACTCTGGACCTGGCAGCAGCATGAGGAGGCGGTATATATAGGGGCCTATGGCAGATTAGGGGCCTGGCAGCAGCTATGGGAGGCCCGTAATCTGCCAGCACCCTATATCAAAAAATTCTACACACCAGCAGTGTGTGAGACCTGAAAGTGGCACATGGCAGAGTGTGGCGATGGAGACAGCAGCAATGGGAGGCCGTACAGGGACCCATGAGAGACTCTGGACTTGGCAGCAGCATGAGGAGGCGGTATAGGGCCCATGGCAGATTAGGGGCCTGGCAGCAGCTATGGGAGGCCCGTAATCTGCCAGCACCCTATGACAAAAAATGGAACACACCAGCAGTGTGAGGAGACCTGAAAGTGGCACATGTTTGGGGCATGATTCATGGCGGATTTAGTCAGTTGTGTCAGGAACTGGTGGTTTGAAATCCAGACTAATCCACGCCTGATTCATTTTCACAAACGTCAGTCTCTCCACACTTTGGGTGGACAGTCGTGTCCTCCGCGGAGTTGCAATACCTCCTGCCGCACTAAACACGCGCTCCGATGCCACGCTACTGGCCGGGCATGACAGCCTTTCAAGGGCAAATTCAGCTAGTTGGGGCCAAAGGTCAAGTTTCGTTGCCCAGTAGTCAAGGGGATTGTCTACCTCGGTTGGCAGGGTGCTGTCCAAGTAGGCCTAAGCCTGTTGTTTGAGGTCCTGCTCCAGGTCCACCTGATGCTGCTGCTGCTGCTGCTGCTGGCTGGTTAGTAGTTTCCTCACTGCGCTGGTGAAGAAAGCTACTCATCATCGACTGCAGACTGAGGCAGCCCGCTGCTGGTGGAGCTGCCACTGCTCCTACCACCCCCCCCCCCCCCCTGCTGCCATGGCAGCGGAACGCGAGCGCACAGGGCCCACAGTGTCTGAGGATGGACGTTGGCGCAGACAGGCAGAGACCAGCTGACTACATAGGTGGTTTTTATAGTACGTTATTTTGGCCTCCCTCTCAGCAGGTGTGAAAAAGGCCACCATTTTTGAACGGTAGCGAGGGTCCAACAAGGTGGACAGCCAAAAGTCATCCCTCTGTCTGATGGTTATTATTCGGCTGTCGCTACGCAAGCAAGCAACCGAGCATGCTATGGGCCATTTGTGCCAAGGAATGCGAGGGACTCCCTGCCTCCATCTCCACAGCATACTGCCACGGTGCGTCTGGGTCCTCTGTCTCCTCCTCCTCCTCCTCCTCTACCAGATGCTCCTGCTCCTCCACTCCTGTCCGCTGAGTGGAAAAACCACCCATTTCACTCAATAATTCCTGAGCACCAATGTCCTCCTCTACCTCCTCCTCTTCTTCCTGTCCTGCCCCCACAGGGGTCATGTGGCGTTGAGATCTGTGCGCCACGTCTACCGCACCCTGACCAGCCATTGTTAACAGCATTTGTTCCAGGACGTGCAACAGAGGAATGACGTCGTTCATCCCATAGTCCCTGCGATGCCGACTCACGAATAGCGTGGCCTCCTCAAAGGGCCTGAGCAAGCGCAGGTGTCACGCATGAGCTGCCAATGGCTGACATCTAAGTTACACAGGGAGTACCTTTATCCCTTTTAACATCAGGAAATCTGTGATGGCCTTTTGCTGTTCGTAAAGGCGGTCTAACATATGTAGGGTTGAATTCCACCTTGTTGCAACGTCACAGCATGAGGAGTCGGTATAGGGGGCCCATGGCAATTAGGGGCCTGGCAGCAGCTATGGGAGGCCCGTAATCTGCCAGCACCCTATGTCAAAAAATTCAACACACCAGCAGTGTGTGAGGAGACCTGAAAGTGGCACATGGCAGAGTGTGGCGATGGAGACAGCAGCAATGGGAGGCCGTACAGGGACCCATGACAGACTCTCTGGACCTGGCAGCAGCATGAGGAGGCGGTATATAGGGGCCTATGGCAGATTAGGGGCCTGGCAGCAATGGAGGCCCGTAATCTGCCAGCACCCTATGTCAAAAAATTCTACACACCAGCAGTGTGCAGTGTGAGGAGACCTGAAAGTGGCACATGGCAGAGTGTGGGCGATGGAGACAGCAGCAATGGGAGGCCGTACAGGGACCCATGAGAGACTCTGGACCTGGCAGCAGCATGAGGAGGCGGTATATAGGGGCCTATGGCAGATTAGGGGCCTGGCAGCAGCTATGGGAGGCCCGTAATCTGCCAGCACCCTATGTCAAAAAAATTCTACACACCAGCAGTGTGAGAGGAGACCTGAAGTGGCACATGGCAGAGTGTGGCGATGGAGACAGCAGCAATGGGAGGCCGTACAGGGACCCATGAGAGACTCTGGACCTGGCAGCAGCATGAGGAGGCGGTATATAGGGGCCTATGGCAGATTAGGGGCCTGGCAGCAGCTATAGGAGGCCCGTAATCTGCCAGCACCCTATGTCAAAAAATTCTACACACCACAGCAGTGTGAGGAGACCTGAAAGTGGCACATGGCAGAGTGTGGCGATGGAGACAGCAGCAATGGGAGGCCGTACAGGGACCCATGAGAGACTCTGGACCTGGCAGCAGCATGAGGAGGCGGTATATAGGGGCCTATGGCAGATTAGGGGCCTGGCAGCAGCAATGGGAGGCCCGTAATCTGCCAGCACCCTATGTCAAAAAATTCTACACACCAGCAGTGTGTGAGGAGACCTGAAAGTGGCACATGGCAGAGTGTGGCGATGGAGACAGCAGCAATGGGAGGCCGTACAGGGACCCATGACAGACTCTGGACCTGGCAGCAGCATGAGGAGGCGGTATATAGGGGCCCATGGCAGATTAGGGGCCTGGCAGCAGCTATGGGAGGCCCGTAATAATCTGCCAGCACCCTATGTCAAAAAATTCTAACACACCAGCAGTGTGAGGAGACCTGAAAGTGGCACATGGCAGAGTGTGGCGATGGAGACAGCAGCAATGGGAGGCCGTACAGGGACCCATGACAGACTCTGGACCTGGCAGCAGCATGAGGAGGCGGTATATAGGGGCCTATGGCAGATTAGGGGCCTGGCAGCAGCTATGGGAGGCCCGTAATCTGCCAGCACCCTATGTCAAAAAATTCAACACACCAGCAGTGTGAGGAGACCTGAAAGTGGCACATGGCAGAGTGTGGCGATGGAGACAGCAGCAATGGGAGGCCGTACAGGGACCCATGACAGACTCTGGACCTGGCAGCAGCATGAGGAGCGGTATATAGGGGCCTATGGCAGATTAGGGGCCTGGCAGCAGCTATAGGAGGCCCGTAATCTGCCAGCACCCTATGTCAAAAAATTCTACACACCAGCAGTGTGTGAGGAGACCTGAAAGTGGCACATGGCAGAGTGTGGCGATGGAGACAGCAGCAATGGGAGGCCGTACAGGGACCCATGAGAGACTCTGGACCTGGCAGCAGCATGAGGAGGCGGTATATAGGGGCCTATGGCAGATTAGGGGCCTGGCAGCAGCTATGGGAGGCCCGTAATCTGCCAGCACCCTATGTCAAAAAATTCAACACACCAGCAGTGTGTGGAGAGACCTGAAAGTGGCACATGGCAGAGTGTGGCGATGGAGACAGCAGCAATGGGAGGCCGTACAGGGACCCATGACAGACTCTGGACCTGGCAGCAGCATGAGGAGGCGGTATATAGGGGCCTATGGCAGATTAGGGGCCTGGCAGCAGCTATGGGAGGCCCGTAATCTGCCAGCACCCTATGTCAAAAAATTCTACACACCAGCAGTGTGTGAGGAGACCTGAAAGTGGCACATGGCAGAGTGTGGCGATGGAGACAGCAAGCAATGGGAGGCCGTACAGGGACCCATGAGAGACTCTGGACCTGGCAGCAGCATGAGGAGCGGTATATAGGGGCCTATGGCAGATTAGGGGCCTGGCAGCAGCTATAGGAGGCCCATAATCTGCCAGCACCCTATGTCAAAAAATTCTAACACACCAGCAGTGTGTGAGGAGACCTGAAAGTGGCACATGGCAGAGTGTGGCGATGGAGACAGCAGCAATGGGAGGCCGTACAGGGACCCATGACAGACTCTGGACCTGGCAGCAGCATGAGGAGGCGGTATATAGGGGCCTATGGGCAGATTAGGGGCCTGGCAGCAGCTATGGGAGGCCCATAATCTGCCAGCACCCTATGTCAAAAAATTCAACACACCAGCAGTGTGAGGAGACCTGAAAGTGGCACATGGCAGAGTGTGGCGATGGAGACAGCAGCAATGGGAGGCCGTACAGGGACCCATGACAGACTCTGGACCTGGCAGCAGCATGAGGAGGCGGTATATAGGGGCCTATGGCAGATTAGGGGCCTGGCAGCAGCTATAGGAGGCCCATAATCTGCCAGCACCCTATGTCAAAAAATTCACACACCAGCAGTGTGTGAGGAGACCTGAAAGTGGCACATGGCAGAGTGTGGCGATGGAGACAGCAGCAATGGGAGGCCGTACAGGGACCCATGAGAGACTCTGGACCTGGCAGCAGCATGAGGAGGCGGTATATAGGGGCCTATGGCAGATTAGGGGGCCTGGCAGCAGCTATAGGAGGCCCGTAATCTGCCAGCACCCTATGTCAAAAAATTCTACACACCAGCAGTGTGTGAGGAGACCTGAAAGTGGCACATGGCAGAGTGTGGCGATGGAGACAGCAGCAATGGGAGGCCGTACAGGGACCCATGAGAGACTCTGGACCTGGCAGCAGCATGAGGAGGCGGTATATAGGGGCCTATGGCAGATTAGGGGCCTGGCAGCAGCTATGGAGGCCCGTAATCTGCCAGCACCCTATGTCAAAAAATTCTACACACCAGCAGTGTGTGAGGAGACCTGAAAGTGGCACATGGCAGAGTGTGGCGATGGAGACAGCAGCAATGGGAGGCCGTACAGGGACCCATGAGAGACTCTGGACCTGGCAGCAGCATGAGGAGGCGGTATATAGGGCCTATGGCAGATTAGGGGCCTGGCAGCAGCTATGGGAGGCCCGTAATCTGCCAGCACCCTATGTCAAAAAATTCAACACACCAGCAGTGTGTGAGGAGACCTGAAAGTGGCACATGGCAGAGTGTGGCGATGGAGACAGCAGCAATGGGAGGCCGTACAGGGACCCATGAGAGACTCTGGACCTGGCAGCAGCATGAGGAGGCGGTATATAGGGGCCTATGGCAGATTAGGGGCCTGGCAGCAGCTATGGGAGGCCCGTAATCTGCCAGCACCCTATGTCAAAAAATTCAACACACCAGCAGTGTGTGAGGAGACCTCAAAGTGGCACATGTTTGAGGCATGATTCATGGCGGATTTAGTCAGTTGTGTCAGGAACTGGTGGTTTGAAATCCAGACTAATCCACGCCTGATTCATTTTCACAAACGTGAGTCTCTCCACACTTTGGGTGGACAGTCGTGTCCTCCGCGGAGTTACAATACCTCCTGCCGCACTAAACACGCGCTCCGATGCCACGCTACTGGCCGGGCATGACAGCCTTTCAAGGGCAAATTCAGCTAGTTGGGGCCAAAGGTCAAGTTTCGTTGCCCATAGTCAAGGGGATTGTCTACCTCGGTTGGCAGGGTGCTGTCCAAGTAGGCCCAAGCCTGTTGTTTGAGGTCCTGCTCCAGGTCCACCTGATGCTGCTGCTGCTGCTGCTGCTGCGCCTCCCTCTCAGACAGGTGTGAAAAAGGCCACCATTTTGGAACGGTACGAGGGTCCAACAAGGTGGACAGCC